TTCAATCAAGGTATCATATATCAGATGTAGGTTTATTAATTCCAAATTTACAGAATTGATGTGGTACTTTGCAGAGTACAGCGGGAGAAAACAAGGGATTTAGTAACGGAATGCCTTCGCAATTTGATATACACATATAAGGAAATTGTGTTTAACAAGGCAGGAATATAAGTGGCAATCAAATCCACAAACTCAATTAGAAACAAGCTTCGTCGGTTAAAGGATCTTGCCAGTGGAGCCAATAAAACAACAATTTAGTTTATCTAATACCCTACTGGAATGACTGTCAGGTGAAATATATAGGTGGAACTAGTAGAAAAGGTGCATTCAGACTAGCCGAACATAAAAACCTAGCAAAATCTAGATTAGTTTACCCAAATAAGATAAGAAATCTAGAGAGTAGTTCAGCCGTAGACAGCACTCATCACATGCAGTTACACACAACCACACAATAGGCCGGCTGGGATAGGATGACAGTTTCAAAATCTAATGTCACAACAGGGTGGAGGAAGAGATTGATAACAGCGGAAGCTTTGTTTGTCGAATCAACTGCAAATACGTGTAATAGGAATGAGTCAACAGCTGTCCAGCCAGATATCTGGAAATTTCCACTACCACGCCTACGACGACAAATAGGAGAGAACAAAGAAAACTATAAAACTCAAGTTTCGAATTCATGTGATTATAATTGATATGATTATGAACAGTAATAAATTTTGTTCGAAACCTTGTCATCCAGTAAATAAAACTGTTTCACTCACTGTGTGACATATCTAATAAACAAAATAATATGGAATTACTTACTACCACCACAGTGCCCAAGTTTTATACATATATGAAATTGTGTTTACCATACATATATATATATATATAAGATCGAGTTATGCTATGTCTGCCCTTCGTATTGTGTTTCTTTGTCTTCTCTTTTTGTATCTCTCATGTTTTACCCCAGCACTGGTTCATTTCTTCTTTCTTTTTTACTCCAAACCTATCTCTCCGCTATTTGATATTTTTGTGCACCCATGAATATCTAAGCATATACGACTGGTGAATCCTGCCGATAGCACCCACTAACATAGAATTGCACAGCCTGAATTCTATTTTGTCAATCATGTGCTCCTTACCCACTAGGTTTGATGATATGGAACTTCTGACTAGATTAGTGATTCTTTTCTCAAAACTATCTTGGACCGTGCACAAAAATAGTGACGGTGGGTTAGTCGAGTCGTTCTACCTATGTAACTCTTCCATGCTAGAATAATTAGTACGGTCAACACGTTGGTAGATCAAATCAGAAAAACAGAAACTCATTATATGAGAACCGATATCCATAAAAATTCCTAAAAGTCTCTGTAATGAGATCGAATAGATAGTATTGCCTGAAACAGTGCATTTATATATATATATATATATATATATATATATATATATATATATGTCTTTATCGTTCAAAGGAGATGCAACCGCATGAAAAACTGGCGTTGAAAAGCATAAAGTTGCTAGTTGAAACATCCTTTGCCAAAACTCTATGTTTTAAATCCACTACCCGTTTCATAATTCCAATTCAGGTAAAAAATAAGGTATCGTTTCTGGCTAAGTGAATTTTTTTTCCATTCTTTTACGTTCCCAGTGGAACATACGGTTTCAAGCCAGAGCCTTGGAGATTCGGTAGCAGTGGAGTTTTATTTTTTTTCGGGATGGTGTAGCTAGCCTAATGCCCAGCCCTCTCTCTTTGCCATTCTTATTATTGGCTTAGTTAGGTGAAGAAATGCATCGGTCGGGGATTGAACCCCGAACCACATGAGGCGTGATTGGTGAGCATTCTACCGCCGTGCCATTGACGCAGGCCAGTCCAATACGCATTAATAAATACAATCACTCTTATAATGCCAGTTACTCCAGGTAGAAAGTCTTGGTAAACTCACTGTTGTCCCTGTGAGCATCGCCCAAAGTGATTAGGAAATGAGAATCATTATCAAGGTCAGTAAGAGGTTCCATATTGGTATACCACTTGGATTGACAGCAAAATTCAGCCTTCACAATTCTCTATAAAGGCCCATTTCAATTCGCTTAGAGTTTGTAAATCTTTGATCATTAATAATAGTTAAGTTGGTTGCTATAAAAGTTTCCAATTTACCAATACTTTGATAACAATGAGATTTCTAAAAATAAGAATGATGAGGCTTCTGTTAACCGGTCGAAGATTATCAAGGGGAATAATAATTGTATTACACTTCTAATCGTATTTTCTATGAACTTATTGAAAAAATATCAAATAAAAAATCAAATCATAATGATTGAATTACCCTGTTCAACTAATGGAATTAGAGAAAATTATTTTTATAAAACTCTCCAGTGTACACTTGAGTACACTTGTCTTTTTTTCAAATTTAACTTGCAGTGATTCATCAGTTTTGTTCTGAAGACATCAAGTAACTGATTTATTCTTTCATAATAAAGTTATATCTTTAATCTGTCCTATAAAATGATCAAGTAAAAATGACTTTTCAGCATCTTTCCCAAATTTCATTGCTGGATACAGTTTCCTTTAAGCTTTTGAAAGGGGAAAAAAAGGGGAAATTTAGTTGACTTAATACGCTTCAATTATTTTGAGTATTAATTTTAACCCCCTTTATTCTCCTTTCTTTCTTTCTTTCTACTTGACTTACCATCTTCAAATGACATTAATTTTTGAATTGGATTTTTTTTTTTTTTTGACGGTGGGTAGCAGTAGAATCCAGTGTGTTGTGAGCTAATATCATAGTGAATAGAATTTTGATGTTTGAAATGATGTTGCGATGTTCTAGTTTCAGAACGAACGCCATCACTCTTTAGGTAGCAAGCGCATTCAGCTGACTAATCCTAGATTCCTACTGATAGGCACCATTTCGAAAATTCCTATTCACTAACATGTCAATTTAGGTTTCCCTTTTATATATTTATCTATCTTATTCCTTGCTGTTGTCAATGGAATAGAGGGCTTCACGCTAGAGCTTTTGAAGTTCAGGTAGCAGTGGCAAATTTTTACGTTTTCATTGATAGCTAAATAATTTATTATTATTTCCTTTAATTCCCAGAGGAACATAGGGCTTCAGCCAAACGTCTCCATTGCGTTCGGTTCCCTGATAAAGTTTTCACCTGACTCCAGGTCTGTCCACATGCTTTCATCTCTTCTTCACATGACCTCCTCCAAGTCACCATCGCACTGACGACCAACTCGACGCTTCCCTTTCGGGTTCCACTCGAGCGATGGCTTGTCTAGTGATGTCACTTGATGGTTTCCTCAGCGAGTGTCCAATAAATCTACGTTTCTGCCTGCTCATTTGTTGCACAATCGGATTCTGGTTGGTTCGCACATTGCCAGAGATCCATTCCTGTTGTTGATCTTTTTTTGTTCATCTAATCTTTATTATTGAGTGAAGGCAGCTGTTGATGAATGTCTGTAGTTTGCTTGAGATGCTCTTTATGGCACGCCAAGGTTCTGATCCACATAGTATCATTGACTTGGAGTTGAAAATCTGGATCTTATTTTTGGTGCGGAGTGCTGTTGACCTCCAAACAGGCTTGAGAGTAATGAAGCTTTTCTTGCTTTTCCGATCCTTGCTTTGATATCCCTGTCAGTTCTGCCTGTATTTGAAACGATGCTTCCCAGGTCCATAGGTAAAGGAGGTTGTTTATTTCAGGTTTCTCCCATTTATGCTGACTGTTGTCTGTTGTTGTTGTTGCTGTTGGTGTTAGTCAGGAATCTTCATCACCTCTGTTTTATCTACGTTCGCCTGAAGTCCTATCCTTGATGCTTCTTCTGCCAGCTTGTTGCTTTTCACTTGCATATCTTTCAGTTTGTGGGAAATCAGACATATATCATCGGCGAAATCCAGATCCTCCAAGTTCTCTGGGTGGGTCCATTTTATGCCTGTTTTCTCACTGCCCGCTCTCTGTCGCATTATCCAATCTACTGCAATCAGGAAATCGTCGGTGATAGTAGACAGCCTTGTCTTTCTCCCATCACTTCGATAGCTTCCGTAAGTTTCCGGCTGTGGATTACTTGGCATACAGCATCGTCGTACAACTGTTGGATGAGACGTATAATTATCGGCGGCACCCCATAGTTGCGAAGTAGTTTCCAATTCACCTCTCGATAGACTCTGTCGAATACCTTTTCAAGGTCCATGAAGGTGAGATAGAGAGGTGACTGTCTTGCGATTTGATCAATATATGACTTGTTTCTCCTGAATCCAGCCTGTTCCGGTCGAAGTTTATCATCCAGGTTGGCGTGTTTGATCCTCTCTAGGATGATGCGAATTAGTATTTTGCTTGAAATGGACAGGAAAAATGACGTTATGCTGAATTCTTACGAGAGTTTCCGATACACCTCTGTCAAGTTGCAAACAATGAAAGCAGATCTATTTGCTTTAAATGAACTTGTAGCCAATTTTCAACCTGTCTCTTCACAGTTTATCTAATATTTGCTACAGTATGCCATAAAGAAAAATATCCCCTGACATATTTATATATTGGTTTCAGCAGGTTGATTTTATCCCTCATTCTTTCCCATCCTCAGCTGGGGTATAAGGCTTCAAGTATGAGACTTTTACTTTCCGTAATGCTCAATCATTCATCCTGGCCGGCTTTAAAACCAGCTGCTAAACGAGGTTTATTATTGCATCGGCTAAAAATGTCAGCTGGATGTTCCATATTGTTGAAGATTATTCTGCCACTAAACATTCGTTTTCAAGTGGGTATTTTTCTTTTTCCAGCCAATTATTTTATATTTGAAGCTCATGTTGGTACTATTACTATTGCGACGTTTGTTCGCCTAGTCATCTTTGAAAACACAATTTTTTTCAACTTCTTTAAACACATTTCAAGACAGAGTTGGAGGTATGTAAATGTAATTTTAATTAACTATTTTTAAAATTTTAAATATGAATTTTTTCACGCTCACCATGTTTTTATGTCTTTTCTCCCTCTATATGCATACTTTTTTCTTTTCTCTTCAGGTTGTTTCTGGTGTTCTTTCTTTCATATGTTTCATTATATGCCTTGTAACAAGTATATACGCAGGACAGAAGGGTAGTTTAATTGCATCTTATGATAACACCTGCAGAGCGATCTCCATACAGCAACAGCAACTGCACCAACAACAACAGCAGCATGAAGCTGAATTCAATCAGCAAATAACCACAGTCAACTCTACGCATTTAACAGCACCACCACCACCACAACCAACAACAACAATAACAACAAAACTTAATAATTCTTCAAATATTCTCAATTTCATTGAACCATGTTGTTATGAAATTGTTAAAAACACTTGTCAATGTTTTACTATACACGGTCAGTGTTCAGCTACATATAATAATCTACCATGTCGATTATTATTCTCGTCAATTAAAGATTATATCATATTACAATCAGCGTTAATGGCTGTTGGTTCAGGTGTTTCATTATGGGCAACATTATTATTAATTGAAAATAAATTTAAAAATCTTTTAAAAAGTAAATATGCTCGGTTGAGTATTTCATCGACAAGAAGTTCAGTTCCTGAAACATATATCATCACACCACTGGAAGAAAGAACCAATAGTATAGATTTTATAGAAACAAATGGTACAATCAATTAAGCCGCCACCATTATTATCATTAAATAATTTAAACAAAATGAGAGATTCATTGTGAAGCATTATTCATTTGTAAATAAAATATCAATGTAAACAGTCATTCGCTCAATCGGTTCAATATTAAATTTTTACTGAATCATTGGCATTGAATCAACGCGTCAGTATGTATAACGTCTATACATTAACTAATGAACACTGACTCAATAACTTTGATAAACTATTTAAATTTTTGAACTGAACAACAGAAAGTAATGAAGTAAATGGAGGAATGATGACAGTCAAAGTGTAAATATACAATCTTCCTAGTATTTCTAAGTTTCTGCTTATATATATGCTATTAATTAAACATTTTAGCGTTTGTACAGTTACATAACAGAATTTTAATTGTATTTATTAGTAATATATTGAATTCATTTTACACAATGTTTTTGCGTAAATATGTACAACAATGCATACTACTGAAATACTACTGTCGAGTTACAATTTTTCTGGTTCACGTTCTGATTCCATGAAAATAGTTTTTATAGATCACAACTGTCATTATTCAGTGTTTTTATAAAAGAATGTTATTTCTTTTATTCGTAAAAATCGTTTTAATCGAAATTTTGTAGATGATAGCGCTAGCTGGATTCTGAGATGATCAGTGATATTAAGAAAGAATGACTTGGCTCAGAGAAGATCTATTCTTCTGAATTACATGGAAACGGTCTTCTGATTCAGTTTAATTGCTTTTTGGTTAGTAGTAGTAATACCAGCAACAATCTGCAATTGTTCATGTCAATTAATGTCATAGGATGGTAATGATGTCATTTACTATGTGAAACGGATCACGCATACATTCAGAGAGGAGCACCATAAAACTTCTTCTCACAGTGTGTACTTTGTATATTCTTGATCTTACCATATAGTCAGATGCGCCTCATAGCAGCTGACCTCAGGTCCCAGTTGACCAATGTTCATTTTAGTAAGATCTTATGAAAATTTTGTATCTATAGGAATACTAAATTGTTGGCGACTAGAATCTAAGTAACCTTTGCGTGTTGCTGACTAGCAGGGTAATCGTCCTATCAGGAACCCTTCAGCTTCATGTACTCGCATTCCCAATTAGTGATGTTTCCTCTGTACCCATCATTTCAAACTCCATAGTTTTAATCACTAGGTCGAGAGGGCTATGAAAGGCATCTCTTGAAAAATGTGTAATAGTTATTATTTGTTCTGGGATTAAATCAGCATTTCCCCCTTGAATGCCTACGTTTTACCAAAATACTCTAACTCCATATCCATTTTGAACATTCTACACTACGTCCCTTTTCCTTTCATCTCGTACATTTTCATTTCCTATGACTACGATAAAAGAATGAAATTCAATGGACACTGCTTCACACTGTATCTACAATCTCACTTTAACTTTTAGGGGACACATAATTAGGTAGAACCACCAGACACGATGACTTCATCGTTATCCCTAGGCATTGTCGAAGCTATTTGTTTTAAGTTACTTATACCGCCTCTGATCCAAAAAATGGGCTAATCACATTTTTTTTCAGTAAAACTTTAAACAGCTTTAATTATCCACCTATTTTAGTGTTTAGTATGTAGAACTGTGCAAACTAGTAGTAATAATAATACAATAATAATAACAGCTTCATTCCAAACAGCATTTGTGGTACAGGTATGGAATTTTCAGCTTGCATTACAATATATTCCATCTAATTACCTCATTAATTTTATAAGATTTTAAAATCAAAAAGCAACAACGAAAAAAATATAAATAAAAAAAATAAAAAAGAACAGCGTTGCGTTTACATTTTAAACAATGCACCACAGGATATGAAATATAAAATTAGTGTGTAATAGAAGATGAGAACAACAGTGTAATAGTAGCGAGGAAAGGAAAACAAAGACTAATGGGACTATTTGTTAGAGTGCCGCAGTAAGTTGATCGTGTCATACCTAACGGATTTCTCATCACATAACAGCTGTGGCAGATATGGTATTGTGGAGTTTTTGTACTTGGTAGTCATACCATATAGCCAGCATCCTATAGCTGCTTCTTGTTCTACCAGATGAAATGCAAGGAGAAAGCTGAGTATAGAGAGGATGCTCAGGTAAGATAAGATAGTATTCACTAGTTTCTTACACGAGATTATATGTCTATCCACAATAGTGTTAAACAGTTGGTTTAACGATATCCCACTTGCCTTACTAACGGCTTTTAGTGCCTGCCTTTCTCAGCGAAGCAAGGTCTTTCTTAAGTAGTCCAGGAAAGATTAATGGGGAGCAGCAAAGGGGGATGGGTAGAATACAAGAATTGACAAAGTGGGAAGGCAAAGACTGCTTTATACCAGACTACCTGAACTTCCTAACGTAGAACGTTAAGTGAAACCTCTTTCTAGTAACTAGAAAGATGTCGGAGGACCAGGAAAGATCGGAGGAAATACTCAGTCCAAGTACTTGACATGAGATGTAATTTCAACCTCTGTGCAGTCAATCAAAGTGGGGCCATGTGAGCTAGCTAGTTGTTGTAAGTCACGTTTACGTCTGAAAGTGAAATTGACTACCTGACATTTAGATGGATTGAGCTTAAGACCGTTTGATGAGGACCACTGACTAATTTCCGACAGAAAGTTATTTAATTTTGAACAATCTGACTGAGAGTTGGTTGACAGGCATAGAAACAGAGAGGTCATCAGCATACTTAACAAAAGTGGCCACATCATAATGGGGTAAGTCATGTAAGAAAAAGAAAACAGAAAAGGAGGAAGAACAGCACCTTGAGGAACACCAGCTAAAGTAAGTGAGGTAGTGGAGGACTTTTCATTGTAGACGGTGTACTGCTTCCTATCAGAAAAATAGGAATGCAACCACTTGTTTGTCCAGCTGTCAGCCTGTGTTGCAGCAAGCTTACTTAGCAAGAGAGACCTGGGAACAGAGTCAAATGCAGATGTGTAATCAAGGAAAGCACAGCGAACGTATTTAGCTCCTCTATCTAAACTATCTAAAGGGAACGACAAGTGTGTAAATGTTGGTCGTTGAGGATGATAGCAATTTTGGAAAGTGATGGAAATCTTAAGTAATTTGTTGGATTCTGACTAGCAGTAAAATTGACAGTGCGCATTTTGTCGTACTCGGGATTCATCGTCTCGAAGTACTTGCCTTTTGCCAGTGACCGATGGTGTTCCCTGGTAGTCAGCATCCAACAAATTACTCTTAGTCTCAGATATTGTTGAAGCATCCGCACTAGGAGTAGACATGTTAACCCGGTGGTAGAACATTTCGGTCCATGCAATCAACAGGAAAATAATAAGTGAGTTCAAAACGAAATAATGGTAGAAAATTCGTTCAGTCAAAACCAACCTTTGTAGTAGATAACAATCAGGAATAAAATTCAGAATGATTCTAGTAGCCGAATGGTGTATGTACGACTGCTGAAACGATATCCTTACTTTAGAAAGATTGTTAATTGTTTTCATCGAATACAATGCGAACAGACGTGATGACGTAATGTATCACTACGCCGTTCAATGCAAGACTGAGCTACATTCTATACACATACCCGTTTTCATACTTTCAGTGTTCCTGGAATTATATTTTACAACAGTGTCAAAATTCTTAGTTAATTTTTATGGTATAGTGCGACCACTTCGTAAAGTCCTCTTCTATGAGTTACTGCCTCACCTTCAACCTGCTGTATCCTACTGGTCACGACTTTCCACTAGAACCTCAGGGCCAGTCGCTAGTAAGCATCAGATCAATTTTCAAGTTTTGGTTTTGTAGGGATTTTTCGTTTGATTGGTTGGAGGATTTCATCATGAACTGACATCAGTTAGAGAACCACAGGAGAACCTGGGAGTACTGGATAGCTATTTTGTCCTAGTTTGGGGCTCTTCACGAACCCTCACCCGGAGGGTCTCTGACCTAGTTGGTTAGTTCGTTGCCACCAGAATTCCTTATTCTTCATCCTCTCTGGCTACCTGATCTTCAGTATTAAACCAGTAGGGTTAGCTGTTGATAAAAATCTGAAGTGTGTTAGTTTAGTTTAGCATAACGTATTCCTACCATGTCCATTGCCACATATTCAATATTGACTTTAAACTGCTTTAATTCTATGAATTTATGGCTTATATAACTGATGTAGTTGTATGAAATGAAGAGTAGGTTTCGACAGTACAGTTCTCCATTCATACATATTAAACAATTTTTGTTGCTGTTCGGATCAGTTTTGTTACCTGATTGTTTAGGTTCGAAGTATCTAAATTCATCAGCTGCATGTATCTGCATTATATCCCTGAGATTCAAAGAGAGTACCAATCGTTTCAACTCAAAAGTATTATCCCTTTGAGCACTGGGCCTAAATCTCAGTAGGAATAGTACTATTCACTGGTAATTGTAAACACATTTAGACGATGAATCCCAGAATAGGACGAAATTTCCATCCTGGATTCGACTGCTAGTTAACCACCACCAAAATAAAATCATTTAGTTGACACAAATATCTATATGCTCCTCGCTTGTCTTGGAGACTCACATTCTTGGTTGACTGTGCCAACGTGAGTAAGAAAATCATCATTTTCATTCATTATCAGCTTGAGGCAACGATAACGTATGCTGAATAATGAGGAGTGGTCTCCAAAATGTTCACGCAGCAGCTTTATTGTATCATCGAAACAATTGTCACGTGGTTTTTGGGGTAAAATTAGGTTGCAGTACCTTTCATATTCTGCGGGACCCAATTTACGTAATAACACTCGCACCTTCCAAGCATCGTCTTGAGAGGCGAGATCAACTGTGAATAAATCCTCATATCGTTGATACCATGTGTCAAAAGTGACATTAGCATCTGGATCATAATTGAACTGTGAAATACTATTCACAATACCGTCGACAGATGGTAGCATGGTATGATTCAGATTGCTTGAAGGTGAAGTTGAACCAGTCTGTTGGTTGACGAAAATTTCCATTAATTTCATTTCTCGTTCAAATAGTAATTCCAATTTAGAAGA